TTTTTTATGTCTGTTACCGCATAACTTTGGACCACGTCAACCGATTTCGATAATTCTTTTTGCATCGGAAAGGTAGTGTCTCAGAGGTGGTTCCATACTAATCTGGTTAAGATCCGATCTGCGGATCATGAGATATATATATATATTTTTTTTTTATATGGGAGTTGAAGTCGGTTTTTTTTTGCTAAAAATTACTAGTTTTATTAAATAGTGCGCGTTTTTAGCTTCTAAAAGAAGAAATAAAATCCTGCTCATTTTTTGCACTTTTTGAAGTATTCACAAATAAAGTGTGAGACTAAAAAGTTTGACCTGTAGACGACATAAGTTTATTTTTTTTCGAGTTGCCACCGGTCAAAAAATTTTATTCAATTTGTTTAATAAGTTAAATGATTTATTAAGAGATGGGTATCAATCGAAATGTGTATGAAAAAGGTTTATTTCTTAACTACATGTAGAGGTTGCCACCTGTTTAAAACATCAAATTCCACTGGAATTAAAGGAATTAGGTCATTGAAATAAATATCACCATATGGGAGTCAGACGAAGTAGGTTTCAGAAGGTTTTGGCTTGAAAATATTACGAAGAGGATTGCCACCTGTTTGTAAAGTCAAATTTAGTTCAACTAAAATAATAATTCCAATGAAAAAGAGACACAAAGCCTCGGATGAGAACTCCCCTTTTGATGACGATCACGGCAAACGTTTAAAGGACTATGAGGCCACGCACCTGGAAGGTCCGGACCCTTAATGGGGAAGGTGCCTCTGCCCGGCTGGTTGATGTCCCCGTAAGGACAAAAGCTGACATCACCGCCATCCAAGAAATGCGTTGGACGGGGCAAGGCAAAAAATGTCTGGTGCTTTGCGATGTCTACTACAGCTGCCATGTAAAGGAGCGCAAATTCGGTGTTGGATTTGTGGTGGGAGAGAGACTCCGTCGCCGAATACTGTCGTTCACCCCGTTGGACGAGCGTCAAGCCATAATCCGAATCAAAGTGAGATTCTTCAACATCTCGCTCATCTGCGCCCATGCCCGACGGAAGAGAAGGATGAGGCATCCAAGGATCTCTTCTTTGAGCGCTTGGAGCGCACGTACGAGCGCTGCCCCCGTCATGATATCAAAATCGTGCTTGGCGACTTCAATGCCAGGGTGGGCAAAGAAGGGATCTTTGGAACCACCGTCGGAAAATTCAGCCTCCACGACGAAACGTCCGACAACGGATT